TGCTATGTTTAGACACACTGAGGATGCTTCATTATGAGTGGGGTCACTAGGCCATCCCTCTAAAGGCCTGCAGGTGCTGGTTGAACTGGTCAGCACTTTCTTTGGCGGTAAGAAGCTGCTTTTCACACCACTGAACCAGAGCCTGCTGCAACATCTTCACACGCGCAGCCTGGAGCCGTGCAATCTGAGGGACGCACACAACATGCATGTTAATACATTTGGTTAGTTAATCAAAAACAAACAGGATGTTGATGGAAAAGAGAATCCTGCTTGAAATATGATATTTTACCTCCTCTTTAGCCACTCCTGATATGTGATCAAACTCCGTCTCGGCTGCTTTCTTCACCTCCTCCATCTGATGAGCAGGCGGAGCAGTTATCATCATTACATACTTCATAGATATACTTGCATTAAACATCCTCTCATCAGCTTTCCTGCTCTATACGCTTCTACTGAATCACATCAGCAGAGCACTACTGACACCTGCTGGTCACATGAAAGAATGGATATCTGATCTAGCCTATTGTGTGGTATGGCAACAAATTACTTTATTAAGGTAAGTAATATAAATATCATTATCTTAAGGTTTTATTGTGAGAAAATGAGTTTTCTTCTTGATATGACAAATAATGTATCCATCATGAGCAGCGGTTTCCTGTTTGCCATTCCTTTTGAGAAGACCCGGATCTGAGAGCTCCCACAGATGACTTATTGTTCATTATTCAGGCAAAACTTCTTCAATATTTAAAAACCTATCTTGGTTGTGATGAGACAAGTTGATGTTAAAGTACTCACAGCAGCCTTCTTTACAGGTTTGGCCTTCTCTGCGTTCCTTCTGGTGGTCTCTAACTCCACTAGTTTGCAAGTCCTCCTGTTGAGCATCTCCTGATTTTGACATTATAATCACATGCACACTATATTAGTAAATGGTGTCATTATGACATGTCATATTTCAATAGAAGGCCATGATTCAAGGTTTATAACATGAATATAAAACGACTTTAGAACTAGAAGACACACCTTTTCTGCCTCCTGGTAGCGTGACTCCAGGTCCAGGCCCAGCCCAAGAGTACTCACGTTGTTCTCAGCGACACTTGTCACATTTTTCTGCCCAAACAGAAGCACATTTTAAGCAGTGAATTTGAAAAAGCAATGGGGTATTGCTGTGAGAAGGCCAAACAACTTACCTGTATAGACTCAAAGACTTCGGACAGCTTCACACAAACCCTGTCAGAAGAGAGTTTTTAAAAAAAATGTTTTTCATACTCTTATTGTTACTTGTACACAATGAGAGGTATTTATTTTAAGTGTGTGTGATTTTGGCCTGCTGCCAAAGCTTTTATTATCTCACTTAGAGAAATCCAGTTGGTCAGGATCCTCTCCCTGTTCCACACAGAGACGCAGAGCAGTTGAGAAGTGCCCACATGCAACTGCTATTTCTACAAAATAAAACATGTAACACACACTTACATCAGACACATTTATTTTGCATTGATTTGTGGATAGACACTAATACACTAACACACCCTCCTTTAGACTTCGGCTGTTTTATCTGAGCACAAATAAATCCTAAATAACACCAAATAATGAGAACCAAAGTTTGAAGGAAGTTGTCTTACTTTGCTCCGTTTGCACCACATCCAAAAATCTCTGAAAGAAAAACAAAAGTAAAAAAACAACCATAGTGTGTTTGGTTGTGTGAGAATTTTTAAAAAAACGAACTGGCTCACCTCAGCTGCAGTCTTGGCACAGCCCGTGAAAACAAGATTATGATCACGTTCAGTTTGAAAGAACTCGTCCACATCCTGTGACATAGATATTATGGTGGTTTAAACTAAAATGCATGTGACTAGGCTGTATATTCTGATTGTATAAGTCTCGGTTGTGTACCTTATGGCCTTCGTTCCTCATCCCTTCCATGGCTTGACTCAGGCGGTTGAAAATGTTTTTCCTTACTCTATGTCTGCCTGGGGGCTACACACAAGAACACAACATATTTTAATACTAATACTGTTTAAAAAGAATACAAAGTTTTATAAAATCTTCCAAACATGAGTGGAAGTATATTTTTGCCCCATGTTTCTTAAGCTTGATACACAGCATTGCAGACTCAATGAAACTCAGTCAGACAACTATAACCCTGAAACGTCTAAAATGGACACCAAATCTGACTGATTTACAGTCAGGCAATATTTCTCAGTGTGTCCTTGTTATGACATTACATTTATGATACAGAGTTGTGATACATTGCTTCAATTTGTGCACTCTTTACTTTGATATTGTTATTATTTTTATATCATCCTGTTTCTCATGAAAATGGTGTGTCACGTGCAGCACCTGAGGAACAATTATTTGTTAAAGTCTACAGTCGTACAAGAGGAGTTCTTTTTTGTTTAAATATCCCGCCTAAACAAAAGGTATCAAAAATAATTCAATCTAATATGCTTTATTGGCATGAATTATTGTAATCTCTTGATGCCATTTGCAGGCACACCAAGCAGACTCAGAGTTTTGCGAGGACCTCACTTCCCTCTTTAGGTTCCTCCACAAAATTTCATGCACTAATTTTGTGACATTTCACCAGCCTGTTTAATTTTGTATCCCCCCCTCATTTGTTTATGTAGAGACAAAGTTCCCCTATAGCTGCGTCTTACTTCTGGCACTCCCTTCTTTTAAGTCCAAAAATGTGTAGACTGTTACAATTATTTTTCAAACACTATGATAAAGCAATGACGATTATATAAACGTATTTAGCATCAGAGTATTAGACAGTTAGCTGGTAACTACCACTGCTGTATGTTTGATATCACAGGGGAGCTGGTTTGAAACGTACAGCTGTTATTTGACATCCTGCTCATAAATAAAACACTAGTTCTGGTGAAACTAGCCTTCAGTCCTCCATATATAAAGGGTTTTGTATTTATCACATGCTCTATACTCTCTTCTGCAACATTGTCGGTGAAAGTCTAACCTTTTCTTATCTGCCTTTCTCGTAAAAGGGGATCACGTTGTACCCTTTTATAACATAACATAAAAGGGTACAACAAAAAACAGGCTGCTATTTACTTGTGTCCACTCACATCTGAGCTGGTCAGGAAGATCTCCACAGCGTTATTTTTGCCGAGTATGCTGTGTGCGGCAATCTGCCGGACAAAAGTCTCCATGGCTTTACAGTACGCCTGCCACTCTCCTAAACCAAGGATACCTGCAGGAAAACAATCAACATTTTCATCACACTCAACACTGTGTTACAGAAAATACACAGAAACTGGAAATGTATTTGGTTTGTTTTCATTTGAAGTCTTACTTTTGAGAAAAATAATTAGGTTGTACTCACCAAGCTGTTTTATAACCTTGGCAGATGCATTCGCTTGAGCCTTAACTGGAAGAGGAGGGAACTTCAAGAGACAAAAAAAGTACAATGTTATTAATATCCATAGTTTTTGTCAAAATAAGATTTATTTTCAAAGTTATTGTCAAAAAGAAAACATCCTGTCAGGGTACTGTTGCATTTTCTTCAAACAAAATCCAGTCAGACAACGTTTTTACTGAATGTTCTACAGTACTGGGGCCAGCTGACAGAATGGCAGACCTAAAAGCAGCTACCTCATAACAAAGGAAAGGATAATATGCTTAAGGAATAAAAAGGAGGAAGCATTAAAGTGAGGACATAAAGTTAACATTTAAGTGTGTGATGTTGTCAGTAAGAAAAGCAATGTGTTAAAACAACGCATCATTCCCTTGTACTTGTTGTTATCAACAAAGGCTCAGCTACAGTAAGTAGTTGTAGATTACATGAAGCAACACTCACACTTTAAAGAGGAAGTTTTCAACAGTTCTACAGAATCCACATCTTGCTTTGTTATTTCACTGACAAAGCACAAACTGGAGTTATTTCAGTTGCAATCTTCTTGTTATTATCAGAAAAGTTTGCACAGATGGTAAAAAGTACTGACTATGACTCCCTGTATCCCGGACACTTCCTCCTGAGAGAAAAGGTGCTGCTGCAGCCATTCAAAATCATCGTAGGTCCGGTCCACATGGTACACCCCAGTCCCAGACAGCTGGCACAGACCAGAGGAAACATACGATTGTAACATTCTGTTCTTGCAATACCATAATTACATAACGTTGACATTTAGTCTGAACAAAACTGGATTTCCCTGTTAATCAAGATGTATGTCATATTGTAAGCTTGCACATACAAGTACATTCATCTTTTTCTCACCTTTTCAGATTCAATAAGGAAGGTAAGTGTGGCCCCGTCTTTCACCACCTCTGTTACCTTGATGCTTTGAATGTCGACACTAAGAGTAGATGTCACTTCGTTCACTTCTTCCTGTAATTAAATAAATGTGGCTAGCAATTCTATTAATACAACAGCTGGAAGTAATTCTACATTGGTATGCAAGCTAAATATAAAGGGCGTAAAACCCTCACTCAGTCCACTCCACACTGTAGGCTATATGTGAATGTTTCCATGGAGTAAAAGTCATATGACACATAGAGGTTGTCAAAAACATAAAGAAAACTTTCAGGCATTCTTACCATCATTGTCCAGCTTGTAAGTTTGTTATTCCAGTCTGTTGTATCTGTTTTTAGAATGCTTGATTCTCCGTGTATCTGGATAAAAGTGCATTAAGTTGTAAAGATCTTTTGTCTTGTGCTGGCTTTAGTGTGCTCTCGCTCCAACTGCTGAGAATGCACAGGATATCCTCTGGGTCAAAGTGCACACTGGTCCTGTGTGAAATGGAGTAAAACAGTGCCAGATCTAAAGTGCTGGCACAGGGGAAAATATGAGTAAATGGTGTGTTAGTCAGTGACTTAGGACCTTAAACACACCCACACAGGAACAGTGGCACAACTGTCCAATGAGTTCTCCCAACTGTCAACCTAACAAACCTGTAAACAACCACTCAACTTACAAGTTTTATCGTAAACAAACAGCTACATTAGAGTCTATTTACCTGGAATTTGACATACTGAATAAAGGACACAGATACTGACGTAACGATTTAATAAGAAGACGTTGGTATCACTAAAAGACAACACATTAAAAACAGTCATACAGAATACAGGATTGAGATATGGGAAATCTAGTAGTAAAAGTCTTCTTCATTTTCATCATCATCCCCAACATAAAAGTTGAAGCCAGGCCCTACAAAACTGTATTGTTCATATGGACCATCCTCTTCCTCCCCATCCTGATGAAAGCTCCATTGGAAGTGTGATTCCTCCACAAAAGGACTATCATTGAAGTCATGGAAGAGGTCTTCAAAATTAAAGTGGAAGCTTGTTTCATCTTCATCCTCAGGGTCAACAGAAGCCTCCTCTTTTAGGAAAGCCTCGTGGCCCACACGGTCATACAGCCTCCTCTTCTCCTTGTTGGAGAGCACCGTGTAGGCTAGGGGAGCAGAAAACAAAGGTATCACTCTTTTGGGTGATAAAGAGCTATGGAAATACTCCGAGTGCATTACCTAGCTGAAAGCAATACAGTATGATAAGGCTGTCCTGCAATCATTTCAGAAAGGTTATAATGTTCTTTAAAAACGTTAAAGAAATGAAAACAAAATGATGATACACTTTAATTGTCACTGTAGATGTGACGCTGATAAAAATATATTTCAATATTTCAATTACAATATGGCTCGGCAATACACTTCACCAGCACCACAAACAAAGTCAAAAATAACAATTGAGTTGAATCTCTTAAACCATAATTGTTTTTAAACTGAACCTATAACCTACATGATGATTGGATTGATTGCAGCGCTGTTGTATTAACTGCATCAGAATTAGCTGAGTCTACTTGAAAAAAAAGGTACTAATTACATAATATATATACTATCTTACAGCTGTTTTAAACATGATGAAAAGCAATGCCATTAGTCAAATAAGCGTATATACAGAGATGGGCGAAGTACAGATCTTGAAGTACTTGAGTAAAAGTAGAAGTACCAGAGTGTAGAAATACTGTCTTGAACTTAAAATGTTACTCAAGTAAAAGTAGAAAAGTATTAGCATCAAAATAAACTTTAAGTACCAAAAGTAAAAGTACTCATTATGCAGATTGGTCCATTTCAGAATATTATATATGATATGTTTTGATTATAATTATTGATGCATTAAAGTGTTATCAAAGCTGGTAAAGGTGCAGCTAGTTTGAATGACTTTGTACACTGCAGGGTAGCTTGTGAATTTACTCCATGTGTAACTAAAGTCTTATTTAATTGTTGTTTATATTTCACATTATTAATCAAACATTTTGAAAGCAACTAAAGGTATTAAATGGGTCATTCTACAGAAAAGGTGGAATCTGGGTGATACAAATCTGCTGAAATATATTCCGTCTAAAAACATCTAAAACCTGTTAAATAGCAATAACTAACTCTTAACTTGATGAATCCACAACAAGTAGAGCTTAAAGTTTTTTTTAAAATGTAATACTTTATACAAAGCTTATTTGTATTGGAATGTCACTGGTGTTACCAGGAAGAAGAGTAACACCAGTGACAATTTGGAGAAAACACTACCATTTTAACAAAATGGCTGCAATGTGTCAGACCAAATATGGCTTCAGTCAATATCAAAATCGTTTAACTCTTCAATACAATACATTTTCCCATTCAAATGTTCACCCCTAGGGCTATGCAATGAGTAACACAAATGACAGACTTGAAAGACGCATGTAAAATTTGAAGATAAAATGACACCTTTAAAAATCAAAGTAAGAAGTATCTGACTTTCCTTATGTCTTTGTCCACTGCACTGCCTCAAATGATCTCTTGTTACAGGAGGCACTTCAGAGACAGTACATTATTTCAAAAATAAAAGCGTTTTGTGTAGCAGTAACACCAATGACATCATTTTGGGTGACTGACATTAATTTGATATTATTAATAATAATAATTAGCGGTTATTTTTTTTACCATTTCAGTGTTATATTTAATGTATGTAATGTTATGTAATAAATATAAATTAAATGTATTTATTGAAAAAAAATATTTTAAATTAAAACTATAGGCTCCACTTCCATGTATGATCAAAGTGACAGTTCCTTGAACTTGGCATTTTAAATAAATTGCAATTTACGTATAAAACCATTTTTTATTTAGTACCATTGCAAAGACAATCTCTATGTATTCAACATATATGTGAGTATTAGGTCAACGTCATGTATTTTGGTGTCTGCAAAAGTAAGTGACAGCACTTCCACCTTTTCTGTAGAATGACCCAAATACATTTAGTGGAGTAAACGTACACGATGAAGTAGCATGGTGGGGTAGAAGTACAAAGGAGCATAACATGGAAATACTCAAGTAAAGTACAAGTACCTCAAAATTGTACTTAAGTATACTTCAGTAAATCTACTTAGTTACTTTCCACATACATATCTAATATACATTTCATTGTAAAAGGCCAAGTGTGTTGCAGGCTTGTTTACCTTCAGCAATCTCTCTGAAAGTCTTCTCTGCGTCGGTGCTCTTGTTCTTATCAGGGTGGTATTTTACAGCCAGATGGCGGAAAGCCTTCTTTACCTGTCTGTCAGTGGCTGTGGTCTCAACATTGAGAGTATCATAGTAATTTCTGCTAAACTCTGAGGCTTCAGATAAGCAGAGTAGCAGGACAAAAAAGGCTTGCATCAAGTGGAAAACACATTGCACTGCCATGCTGGGCGTCTGAGCACAAATGAGGAACTTCAACACACACACAAGTTACCTGGAAGTACAACTATCTTGTGGTTCAACAGCTTATCTTCATGCATAATATATGCTACTGCTAGTCCACACGTCAGCAGCAGCAGCTTTCAGTAGTGGATGCAACTCTGTCCAACCCGAGGCACGCAGAAAAGTTTACCTGCAGCTTTGAGAAGTTGTTCCGCCTATTTCAACCAAAAATAAGGCACATCGGTGGTTAGTGGTGAAAGTGTATCAAATAAATAAAGCCTCTTCCAAAGCTGTTTTTTTTTTTAACTTAGCTCTGCTTCGCTTAGCAAGAGGAATGCCCAAGTGTTCTATAAAACACCTAAACCGTGTAATGATTTGATAGATTCAGTCAAAAGGAAAACAAAGTGAAAAACATACTTCAGTGCATTTAATCACTATCGTCACTAGAGGGCAGAACAACACTCATAAGAAACGGAGAAGAAGAGGCTCGTCTTCTTCGTCGGTAGCATTCATGCATCAGGAAATGTGGTAAACAGCACCAAGGGCCTCGAAGATATTGCCAATAATAAAAATAAGTAGCTTAATGCTTTTGTCAGTCGAGACAGCTGTATCATTATTTAGGGGATAGGAGCAGAACGTTTCTGCGTGGGAGTCCCTTGACTATTCTCTGGATCCTGCTTCTAGTTTCTATTTGGTAAGACACCATTAGCACTTAGCCAGTTAGCTAGACACCGCTCGCTAGCTAATACAATCTTAATATAGGTTACTGTTAAGGTATCTTAATCAGGTACATGATACGAGAGTGTGCTTTATTCATCGCCAGCTACCCTCAATTTAGCTAAGCATGATGTGAATCCATTTGTGTTATTTTTGCCAAACTTGTGGCAACAACAACAACAAACAACATCAACAACAGTGCTATTTATTATTTACCAGGTGTTCTCCAGTGCTAATATTTCAGCCCTAACCATATAAAGTTGAGCCATAACAGATGAAATGATGAACATAGCAGGGTCATACACATCTAAATGATTCTATATTTGTGAAGATAATATCTAACTTTGGTTATATGATTTGTCTTGTAGATCATTGAATAGGAAATTGCAATACTTGAAAGAAAAAATGTTAACTATTCATTTATTGTTCACCTGTATTTTGTAATCTTTGGCAGGTCACGCCCACCCCCCTCACACACATGAGTGCTGTTTTCTCCTTGAGCTGGGCCAAGCGCCATGCCTGACCGGGACAGCTCCTACCTGTCAGGTGGCAGTGGGGGTAGTCTGGGTGAGGAAGGAGGACCTGGGTCTGCAGGGGGCTCAGCCGAGGGCAGAGGGGGCTCAGGAGGAGGTGGCAACGGCTCTGGGAGCATGGGGGGAGGAGGAGCTCTCGGAAATGGTACCAGTTGTGGGAATGGTGGAGGTGGGGGGCAAGGCTCAGGACTGGCAATAGGAGGTGTCTGCAGGGACTTCATACGCAATGTCTGCAAGAGGGGAAAGCGCTGCCGCTTTAGACACCCAGACTTTAACGAAGTTCCAGATTTGGGAGTGCAAAAAAATGAATTCATTTTCTGTCATGACCACCAGAACAAGGAGTGTATGCGCTCCAACTGCCGCTTTGTCCATGGATCTAAAGAGGATGAGGACTATTACAAGAAAACAGGAGAGCTACCCCTCAGACTAAGAGGGAAAGTTGCAGCACGACTAGGCCTGTCCCCCATCGATCTCCCCCATAGCCGTGGGGAAGTCCCTATCTGCAGAGACTTTCTAAAGGGAGAGTGCCAGAGGAGCAATAAGTGTAAATTTCGTCATGTCCAAAAAGACTTTGAATATGAGCCGTCAAGGGTTGGAGTGGGTGGTGTGATAGGGCCAGGGCCCACTGGAATGGTGAATGCTGGGGGAGGGATAGGTGTTGGAGCAGGAGGTCCCTGTGGAGGAATGCAAGGACTTGTGGGAGGTGGAAGTGGAAGTAACATGATGGGGATGGGCTGCCCCATCCTGGGCGGTTGCAGAGATCCCGGTATCATAGGAGTTGGGGGGGTAGGTGTAGGTGGGATGAGCACTTGTCTGTCCATGAATTCTACAGGCCAACGACGGTATGAAAGGAGCTCAGTGTATGACCCTCTGCTTGAAAGTGGGCTGTTTGATGCAAGCTCTCTGGAGGCCTCTATGGACCACACTGCTCTACAGTTGAAGAGGCGACGGTTGGAGGGGCTGCGCCTGGCAGATGTGACTGGAGGTGTGCACTACGAGCTGGGACTTCATGCCACCTTGCCACCCCGTCCTCTGGAGTTCAGGTTCCTGGAGGAAGATAACTGCCTGCTGAGGAAAAGAGTGGAAGAGCTGAAGAAGCAGGTTAGAATAACACATGGTGAAATAAAAAGAAACACAATTTGAAACTTAAACAAAAGAAAATAGACCTATGAGAAATCCAGATACACAGCCACCTTTGACAGTATAACACAGTGCAATACAATGTGTTAACAAAGTCAAAGTCGTAACAGATAATCACATTTTATTAGCTCAACAGAGGTAGAATTTATTGTGGGCTATTGTATCGGATCCATCTTATTGTTTGCTTCATGTACTGAATGATTGTAATCTATACACTAGGGGTATGTAAAAAGGACTATTAAATAAGGTTGTATAGTGTTTGTGTCATTTTGAGTCACACAAGGACTGAATTCATTTATATCTCACTAGTACCAAATTATAGGCAATGTACTGTTACTGTGAAGGCTGTGTAGTGGAACAAATCATTGTCATCTAAAGCAGGACATCTTATCTAATGTCATAACAACATATGAAGAAACATTGGTGGTTTGTCAACATAAACTATTTTGGTTAACGATTAATCGTTCTAATAATTTTTTGAATTGCACCTTTAATGTTAGATATTCAGGGTCCTATGTTTAACTGTTGATCAATGTAAGAGTTTTAGCAGTTTCTAAAACTGGGTTTTAAACTTGGTGAACAAACTTAATGTAATGAAAACATGTCTCTCTGCAAATGTTTAGACCTAAAGCAGCTATAATAATTAATCAAAAGTCAACTTTTATAAGAACCTTTTTTCTGCTGCAAAGCCAGAATTCCTTGCAGTGGACTTTCAAGGAGCCTTGTCCTTTTTTCTAATCCATGTCTTGTGTGTTTCTCAGGTTTCAAATCTAATTGCCACAAATGAGGTTCTTCTGGATCAAAACGCCCAGTTCCGCAGCCAGGCCAAGGTGATGACGATGTCCTCCACTCCTGTGCCCACTGAGCAGAGTCTGGTTCCCCCTTTGGGTGCAATAGGTTCCTACAATCATAGCATTGCCCAGACTCACACCACCCTGAGCAGCGCTGGACTGCAGCCTCGGCCTGTCACCCAGCAAGATATGGTAGTTTCTTCCGGCGCCCCTTCAGCGCCCCCTACTAGCGCCCAATCTTCAGCCCCTCTGCCTCACCTCAACCCTGAGATCACCCCCCTGTCAGCCGCTCTTGTACAGACCATTGCCCAAGGGATGGTGCCACCTGTTTCTATGGCCCCAGTGACTGTATCTGTGGCATCAGTGGCAGTGTCCATGACGCAGCCGATGCCTGGTATCACCATGAGTCATGCCACCACCCCAATGGTGTCGTACCCTATTGTGAGTCAAAGCATGAGGATCACCACTCTCCCTCACTGATAAAGTGCAGGGCTGTAGAACCCACACATCAGACTGTAGCATTCTTAAAGGTGGGGTAGGTAATTTTGGAGAAACCAGCTCGAGTGCACTAGAATTTGAAAATACACAACCGGAAAAAATCTGCCACTTCCTTACAGAGCCCCTCCTCCAACACACACGAACGCGCACATGACCAATGAGGGCACGAGATAAGTTTGTGCACAGATGGAAGGCTGACAGGCAGGTAGGCCATCCAGTTATTTTTACAGTATTACGGCTTCCACAGATGAAATATTTTTATGGATTTTTTGTCAAAGCACTAAAGATATTCATTGCTATCGGGATGTTAAGAGCATTCCATGGAATATAACAAAAAGTGTTTCTGAAATAAATTGCACACCCCACCTTTAATTATAATGAAAGAAAAGCATTGAAACTTTCGTTAAAAGGTCTGGCATTGGATGAATGAAATTAATTTGAGCTCTACCCCACCTTTAACTGTGATTTTTAACAAAGATTGTTTCAATGTTTTCTGAGACTCAACTAAAGACAGAACAGTGAAAATGGTCTGATAATTGACAATTGCAATACTCCACCAGAGGGCAGGATGAAGACACCCAGTTTTATGGCAACATTACAAAGACAATTTTCCTTCAGACTGACCGACCTGTTAACAGTTTGTGTACCAAATGTACCAATTACCATTTCTTCAATACTGCTGTGCTGTCATTTTGAAGACAATATGTTTGTGTATCTGGTGAAAACCAACTATGGTACATTTAAAAAAAAATCACTGAATCTTGTGTTATCTGTCACTTTGTTTACAGCTGCCTTACTTTGATATGCTCGGTTCACACAGGTAAGATAAATAAGTCATGCCCAGAGACACAGTTTCTTGTGGCAAATGCTGTTTACATCCCATTGCTTGAGTTATTTGGGTGGAGTCACTATGTAAACTTCAACATAATACCATCTGCTTCTTCAGTAGCCTCATATCCGTGTGGCTCTTTAAACAAGTGGAATATTTGCTGTTGTACCTTTGGAAGCACAGCCCAGGCTTGTGTGGTCACACTGGATTTAAGGGATTGAGAAGGATGTCAAGTCTGCTGTTTTTAAATAAACTGGAGCAGCAGAAATAACTGACAAGAGGTGCTGGTGGGTTAAGAATCTGACAGGAAGCGTGGACTTTTTTGTATATTCAGCTGTGCTTTGCTCCGACAGGCAGGTCAAATTACATAGAAAATAGAAAATGAAAAGAACCCTTGAATAATATGGAAACTCTAGCTTTCTGATAACGTAATGCTGCAGTAATAACGGTAATTACTATAAATTGGATTAGTGTCTTGCCTCAGCAGCGAAAGAGTCAAAGATGGTTTTTTTTGCTTCAGACTGGGGGCGTGTTTTTATTATGATAACGGGAATGGGTGGGGGCAGAACTTATGTGCCACTTCTCCTGGACCCCGTGCTCAGACAGTAAAACTTCACAAAATTATACCAAATAATACTATTAAAGATGCGCCTCGGACAAACGGTGTACTAGCGAGGGTACACGCGACGTGCACTGGTGCTCTGTTAAACGGTAGCTAGCTGACGTTGGAGATGACACGTTAAGTAGCCTTTTGGTCCTAACGAGCACTTTTAAACTGAATATTTTTATTAACTGTAACATAAGTGAGTGTTTCTAGCGAATACAACAATGGAAAGCGACAAATCAGCGAAGGGCACCGAGTGTGTGAGCACAGCGGACACCGAGAAGAAAGCCCTGATCCCCGCAGAGGGTCCCAAACCCAAAGGGATCAGCGCAGTCGCGGTGCTCTGGACGTTTGGAAAATGTCTCGGCGCATTGCTGCCCGTCTACCTGGCGGGGTACTACCGTGTCAGCACCAGCCTCTTGGTGTTCGGGATGATGGTCTACACGGGATGGAAACATGCCCGAGAAGCCAAGGAGAACCGCCTGAAGTCAGCCATACAGCTGCTCAACAACGAGGAGGAATACACATTCAAGAAAGTGTCTAAAAACCAGCGAGACCTCCCTGCGTGGGTAAGAAATGAGCCTACCTCTGTCAGTGTGTTACATTATCATCAAAACATCCTCCCCAATAAAACAACTTTAACCAATGTTGTTGACCTTATGTAACCCCCACGTTACGTATAGCAAGACAACGCTTAGCAGAGGACCCTAAAATCATAATATCTGAGGTACAAGGATCCCAGTAAATATTAGCTTTACTCTATTCTTAGCTGTTATGTCGTAGGCTAGTCCCAGTGGTGTGAATAATCCTATGGGATCCTGGTATCCCTTATATTTGTTTAAAGGTTTTACCAAATAATAATTTCCTCATTGACAATAATATACAGGCACAGCCAATTAGGTCAGTCAGTGCCTTTTTATAATCCTTTTAAAACTTGTTTTATGTTGCAGATAAAACAGTCAGGTGTATCGAAGTCCTTTCCTGCTATATTTACCCATTGTTTTTGCTAAGCCAGTTACCAACATGGCTGTGTGTTTGTTTTTCTAAACTTAACTTGTTGGATCAAAACAACACCAGTTTTAGTGCATTCCAACAACTATAACAAGACTTTAACTAAGCAACTGCAATTTCAGCTTAAAAGGTATATGGAACATGTGCAGGAGTTATACTTGACATATACATCCTGAGGAAATCTACCCTAAATGGAAATGCTGAAACCACATGGGCTGGATTTTAATCAGAGCATCTAGCCACACCCAAATGAGGTTCCTGTGGGTACTTGTTTCATTTTTATCTTGCATAAGCAGGCAGAAGGCTCCTTCTTAAAGCATTAAGAAAGGGGCATGCATGTCCATATTGCTCTCTGTTGTGCAAAACAAATGACGTGTTTAAACATTTATAAAGAAATGGAGGAGACAATTGATGACATTTAAATTATCTGGACAGTCGCAGCACTTATCTCCTTTCCTTTTTCTTTCCTAAATATTGGAAAACAGTTTAAAACCTGGTGCACAAAGCACTGAAATTATATAAAAAATGCTATTAATGACATTTCCAGACCTGCATTAGTAACCTCTGAATCACTTCCCTATCCTGTTGTGTGTTTATCAGGCCCTATGCATAATTTAAGTAAGTACTCTCACTGTTTTTCTTTCTTTCAGGTCAGCTTTCCAGATGTTGAGAAGGTTGAATGGCTGAATAAGGTACATTTGATTGGTTTATCAGAGTGCTACAAATGCAAAGACACACTAGGGTTTCCCCCTCTATTAAGCCCAGAGCAAACACATGCCTGTCTGTTCAGCTGTTGTGCTGATAGACACTTGGTAGAGTATGCTAGGGTAAAAGCGGGTGCTAGCTGATGGTTGGAAGCATTGCTGCGGCTGCCATGTTTAATAAAAAAGACACACCCCCATTATTGTAGCCACTGTGTCTGTACTGCAGAGAGCGGGCTCAGTGCCAGGCAACACTCTCAACATTTCCATTTCATTACATTCTAGCTCACAGGAAGGGGGAGGAGCTGCCCCTCAAAATAATAAAACAGCAGCCATTGTCCCCCCCTCCTTAACCCCCTTTGCTTTTCATGCCCAGAGAAACTACAGCCAATAATATAAACATACAGCAATAAAAGTATTCATGCTAACAGGACCACGAGATCTAAGGCTCAGAGAGCGAGACAAAGGAGAGATTTAAGACTGGTTACTGGAGGAGAGGTCAGCAGATTCCCATGTTGCTCGAGCTGCATCTCTCCCAAGAGCAGGCGGCTGATGACTCACTCTCCACTTATGCCAGACTCAAACCAATAATTTTTTCCACAGTCACACAAACAAGCAGTGCCTCTGCTTTTAGTTCTTTCCACAAAGTACTAAATACTTAATATGTTTATATAGCAACATTCATTATCACATTACATTATTTTGTGAAAAGCGAGCACATGTACAGCACAGGGTTCATTGTGGTAAGAAAGTAGACAACTAACAGCTGAAGAGACGCAACAGGCAACAGCTGTGATTCGATTTGAAGTAGTTCATAGTAGTCCCACTTTGTGCCGCATTGTCACCCCTTGTCATTGCAACTGTCGATCTACTGGTGTGCATACTGTCAGTTATGCTCTAACTAATAAAAGCAGCTTATAACCATAGCGTTTTGATTGGTCTGCGTAGGTGCTGCAGCAGGTGTGGCCATTTGTCGGCCAATACCTTGAGAAGCTGCTGGTGGAAACCATTGCTCCATCTATCCGAGCCTCAAGCAACCACCTCCAAACCCTCAGCTTCACAAAAGTGGACATGGGAGACAAGGTGATGCCATTGATAAGTTAAATATAATATGACACTGCTGTAAAACTTCTGTTTATATTGTGCTGAAAAGGTGTGTTCTCTTTGCTGCAGGCCATGAAGGTTGTAGGGATCAAGGCTCACACCGAGAACGACAAAGGACAAGTCCTGCTTGATCTATATATTAGGTAAATGTATATCCATTGCTCTTTGGATTTGCCGTCACCTCTCACAGCTTTTAGAAGGCATTATTCTAGATGACACTGTTTCACTTGTATCCTCAGCTATGTTGGCAATGTAGAGATCAACGTTGAGGTGAAGAGATACTTCTGCAAAGCTGGAGTCAAGGGAATACAGGTCTGTCTTTTTTTCAAGCCTAGATGTAAACTATTTGACTGAATTACAGTGTTGCTTGCCACTAATACAAAGATGTTGCGTGTCAATAGGCATAACTGAAGATGTGCCATTCTATTAGTGTTTACCCACATGTTTTACAGACATCCTTTCTGCTTCTGTCCTTAGCTACACGGGATGATGCGGGTGATTCTTGAGCCTCTGATCGGAGATGTTCCCATAGTGGGTGCAGTCACCATGTTTTTCATCCAGCGGCCGGTAGGTCTATCCACATTCACCTCTATTTGTCCTTTTTTCTTGTTGCCCCTCAACCCCCATTACTGTGACCACTATGGATCTCAGTAGAGTATTGTATTCCGGCTATTGATTTCAGAGTAATCCTGATTGATTTGCTACATACGGCACATTTAGCTGTCTTATCTCTTCCCAGAAACTAGACATCAATTGGACTGGACTCACTAATTTGTTGGACGTCCCTGGACTGAAGTGAGTCATGCTGAAATAAGCTCTCATTGGTTTTACACACTAGTATTAACCAAGATCTTATAAAAGACACAACTTCACGATGTTTGTATTCATGTGTGGGTTTTATTAACACAGTAGATACTGCATTATATAGGCCGTACTGCTGTACATTTCCATAAAAATGCTCTCTCTTTGTCTCAGTATCATGTCTGACAGCATGATTATGGATGCCATCGCCTCCTTCTTGGTGCTGCCCAACCGCCTGGTTGTCCCCCTGGTTCCAGGCCTGCATGTGGCCCAACTACGCTCTCCTTTGCCCAGGGTAAAGCCTGGCTATGCATCTACAGATAAATGGAGACTACCACATATGCAGTACATACATATAATACATCTCAGTCCAAAACGTTATCTTTCATCTTGGTCCCTCTTGTTGTTTCTTAGGGTGTGGTACGCATCCACCTACTAGAGGCACAGAATCTAGCAGCCAAGGACAACTATGTGAAAGGGGTTTTGGCTGGTTTGTCCGACCCCTATGCCATTTTGAGGGTTGGCCCTCAGACCTTCACCTCCAAACACATCGACAACACAGACTGTCCCAAGTGGGAAGAGATGTATGAGGTAAGATTGGGAGATGTATGGACATTTGTAAATGTACTGTATGTCATCATTGCACAGGTGCTGGAAGACTCAATCATATATCATGCCACTTGTTCTGTATTTGAGGGATTAGAGCTAG